AAACGGAGTCTTGCTCCTGTTACCCAGGCGTGGAAGTGCAGTGGGCAATCCTTGCCTCAGCATGCAATCTCCAGCCTCCTGGTTCAAGTGATTCTCCTGCCTCACAGCCTCCCAAGTAGGCTGGGAACTGACAGGCACGGCCTCCATGGCCTGGCTAATTTTTCTATTTTATCGTACAGAGAAGGGGTTTGCAACTAATTTCATGCAGCGTCTTTAACTCTCTGACCCTCAGGTGAGTCGGCCCTGCCTCGGTCTCCCGAGTTGTTATGATACAGGTGTGCAGCCACTGTGCTGGCCCCATTGCTTTATTCATCTGTTTATTTTTCAGGTGAATTTCATTGCAGGCAGTATTTAACCATATTCATACTTCCATCAGAGAGGCTTTTTAATAGATTGAATTAATGCAATTCACATTCCTCTGATTATCAAATGTTTGAACTTAGTCCTGCCAACTCACATTATGTTCCATATCATCATGGTTTTAATCTTTACTCATTCCTGTTATTTTTGTTGTTTTGGGGCTGTCATTTTTCATTTCCACTTTTTCCTCAGCTGTTTGGAAAGTGGTATATTCTTTTCCCACCATTCTTGTGGAAAACTTTCTGATCAGTTTAATTTCTTTTTTTGGAGGCGGAGCTTGCAGTGAGCTGAGATCCAGCCACTGCACTCCAGCCCAGGCGACAGAGCGAGACTCCCTCTCAAAAACCCAAATCAGCAAAGAAACCCGTGTCATAATCAGGCTTCTTGCAGAGAACATGGAAACGCCTATCATCTTACTAGTAAATTTGGAAATGCAAACTAAAACCACACCAAATAGGCACCAACATTCATATGTGGCATTACTCAGCGATGGCAAGATGGCAGAGCAATACCCTGCTGGTCAGAATGTCAAATGGGACAACTATTTGGTAAATACGGCCGTATGGCATTACCCAATGAAAACGGACATGTTTGTCAGTTTCCTGTTGCTGCAAAACAAACCACGCCCAAAACTTTGTAGCTCAAAACAACAGTCATTCCTTTTGTTCACACATACGCTATTTGGGCAGGATTCAGCAGGCACAGCTAGACTACTTCCTGCATCCTCACTGGGGCACCTTCACTAGGGGCTGGAAGAGCCACTTCCAAGATGGTGCACTCACGTGGCTGGGACCTTGATCCAGGCTCTGGGCTGAGGGCCTTGGGAACATCCTCATGGAACAGTAGCCATGCTCCAGGAGCAAGGGTTTCAAGAGAAGCAGGTGGGACCTGTATCACTTTTCACATCCTAGCTTCTGAAGTCACATAGCATCACTTCTGCCGTAGTGACAAGCCTGTCCAGATTCAAGAGTTAGGGAGATGTGTCATCATCACATTTTAAGAGAAGCATCCTGTATGGAAGAAGTTGTTGTGGCCACTTTGAGAAGATGCAAGCTCCCCGAGTGTGCATACCCATTCCCGGCTGTAGGGTTAAGTCTATTTGTATTCCTAGGTGCATTCCATGCCTGGGTGTGTGCCTGAGAAACTTGTTCATCAGGAGGCATGTGGCATGTGCATGAATGTTCAGAGCAACACTGTTTTTGTTTTTGTTTTTTGTCTTTTTTTCTTTTTATTTTGTTTTATTTTAACACTGTTTTTATTTTTATTTTTATTTTTTAAATTTTTTTTTTTTTTTTTTTTTTTTTGTCACCCAGGCTGGAGTGCAGTGGCCGGATCTCAGCTCACTGCAAGCTCCGCCTCCCGGGTTTACGCCATTCTCCTGCCTCAACCTCCTGAGTAGCTGGGACTACAGGCGCCCACCACCTCGCCTGGCTAGTTTTTTTGTATTTTTTAGTAGAGACGGGGTTTCACCATATTAGCCAGGATAGTCTCGATCTCCTGACCTCGTGATCCACCCGTCTCGGCCTCCCAAAGTGCTGGGATTACAGGCTTGAACCACCGTGCCCGGCCAACACTGTTTTTAATAGCAAATACTGAGGGAAATCTTAAATATCAAAGAACAGTAAAATGGACAAAGTGAGGTATCTCCACACAATGGAATAGCACACAGCAACAGAAATGAATGAATTCTACCACCAACATGGCCAAATCTCAAACACATAATTCTAAATGGAAGAAAGAAATCTCAAAAGATTACAGAATATGATTCCATTTACACTCAGCAGACAGAGCTAGGAAATATGTAAGTATGTACACACAAACACATACACACACACCTTTTCTGATACCTCTTAGCAAACCTTGAGTTCATACTGATACCTGTACCTCCAGTTACAATCTGGCATGGAGCTGATTCTACTCTTCCATCTTTCTACATAACTATCTATGCCTTCACTTAGTAGCTCAGTACCCCCCTACATAACTATCTCTGGGCTGTACAGAACAGAAAATTGGCCCCAGACACAACCACTGCCCCCATTTATGCACCAGCCAAAAACACGGTTCTGGGGTCATCACTGCTCCCCAGAATGGTTACATCTGCAGGCTGAAAGCACAGCCCAAGAAAAGGCAAGGAGGAGGATGATCATGTTGTTTCTGATATTCTGTTTCTGGCAGGAATAAGACAAAACCCTTTTTCTTTGATCTATCTCACCTTTAATTTATTTAATTTTTATTTTTACCCAGTGTCTACAACAATCACCTTTAATTTAGGAGACTATCCTTTCACAAACAAATGAAACGTTCTTTAAATGTTGTTTTTCTCACTTCAGAATTCAGGAAAAATAGTTTTACTGACATTTACTTTTAATAAAAATGTAGTAATTTGCATTGTTGCAGTAGAAATCTGTCCTCCTTGTCACTAGGATATAATCAGTCAAATTGATAGTGGAGCCCAGGCCTTAAATGGGTGTCATATTTGAGACTAACGTTCCTGTGCTTCCACAACATGCCCACCATTAAGGAACAAGGGTTGTGGCATGTGTGCTGAACCAATGCCCACAGAACCCTCAGACCCATACTGGCCAGGCACCTGTATTCTGGCACACAAGGCCTCAGCCTCACAAGTAGTGAGAAGGACACTTCCTGGCAGGCCAAGAGCCATGGCAAACACCAGAACCCTCTGGAAGATAGAAACTTGCATACGCACAGGTCCTGCAGGCACACCTGAGGAAGGTCGATTTGGTTCTGCTTCCTGACCTAGGAAGAGAAAAGCAAATAAGATAAAAAAAAAAAAAAAAAATCTCGGTGTAATGGTAGGCTCATCTTAACATTCCTTTCCCTGATGACCACCTCGCCCAACCAGAAGCTGAAATTTTTCTGGCTTGGTCGTTGCATATAACGCCTAATCTAGGGTTTAGATATGTGTCATGTAACAAGGCGCTCGTGAGGGTGTGTAATTACCCTTCTTGCAGAGCCTGATGTATGCATGGAATTACGGTCAGAACCACAAGGACTAGGCTTGCTGTGGTCAAGAAGAATAACTTTCGGAGATTATCATCCCAAGGGGAGGCTAATAAAATGTCCAAAAATTGAGATTAGATACCCCAAAATCGAGCTGTAGTCTATTCAGTGGCAGGTTTTGGTTCCACAGCCAAGGCTGTCAGGCAGATTTTCGGATCCTCTGGGAGCGTGTGACCCCTGTTTAACTGCTATTTACCTATTGGATTATGTAATTTTACACTCAAGCAAGGTAGACTTTAATTTGTTAAGACAGTGATGGCCAAGTAAATTATTCCTGTCGAAAGCAACCGCAAATAAATGTTTGCGCCGGCAGTGAGTGATAAATTACTTCTCTCCGAGTAGAAAAGATTACAGTTAGAATAAGGGGTTCTTGCGCAGCTTGGCCAGCGCACAGTGGTGCTGCTTGTTCCTTTCTGTTGTGTTCCCAGCACTGTGGGTGATGGTATTTGTGTGTTATGTGATCACCTGCTCTTTTGAGTTTTTCCTTGAGAGTAGCTGTTTGTTGTTTAGCTAACTGTATCCTTCTCCATCTAATTCTTCTGTGTTGTCCTTGGGCTTGTGGTGTGTTCTTTGTTTTGAATCCCGTGTTTATTTGGGAGGCCTTGTGTTTTTACGGTTTCTTTTTTGGGCGGATCACGATGGTCAGGAGGATCGAGACCATCCTGGCTTAACCACCAGTGATGAAACCCCGTCTATACTAAGAAATACAAGAAAACTAGCCGGGCGAGGTGCGGACGCCTGTAGTCCCAGGTACTGGGAGGCTGGAGGCCGGGGGAGAATGCGGTACCCGGGAGGCGGAGCTTGCAGTGAGCTGTAGATCCGGCCACTGCACTCCAGCCTGGGCTACAGTGAAGCGAGACTCCGGTCTCAAAAAAATAAAAATAAAAATAAAAAATAAAATAAAATAAAATACAAAAATTAGGCTGGACGTGGTGTGTGGCGCTGTAATCCCAGCTACTCAGGAGATCTGAGGCCAGGAGAAATTGCTTTGGACCGCTGGGGAGAGGAGGTTGCACACTGAGTCGAGATTCACTACCATTGGCACTCCAGCGCTGGGTGACAGAGCAAGACTCCGTCGGCAAAAAAGAAAAGGCCGGGCGCGGTGGGCTCAAGCGTAATCGCCAGCACTTTTGGGTGAGGCAGAGAGGGTGGGATCACGAGGTCAGGAGATCGAGACCATCCTGGCCGAACACAGTGAACCCCATATTCCTAAAACTACAAAAAAAAAAATGAGTGCCGGCGCGAGTGGCGGCGGCCTGTAGTCGCCAGCTACTCGGAGGCTGACGGCAGGAGTAATGGGTAGAACCCGGGAGGCGGACTTGCAGGTGAGCTGAGATCCGGCCACTGCACTCCAGCCTGTGCGACAGAGCGAGACTCGTCTCAAAAAAAAAATAAAAGAAAAAAAGAAAACAGTTGTGGTGTTATGACTTTTAGAACATTAACAATTTTAAAAGCCACTCAAATCTAATAAGCAGGAATACTCCAAACTTTTTTTAGATCGATACAGAAGTATTCTCCCTCTCGTCCAACATGTTTGAACCAGCTCACATCTGCGGGGGGTGGGTGCCGATGAGATGTAAATAAATGTCCCGCGCGTTGTGTGTGTGTGTTGTTGTTTTTTTTGAGACGGAGTCGGCGCTTCTGGGCCCACCCATGCCATGGCCCACCCAACGCGCCCGGTTCAGCGCAGTGCGCCGTGCCCTTGGCGAGTGCCTCCCCGACTAGCTGGGACTAGGGCAGACGCGCCCGGCGGCGCGAGCGGCGCGGGTGTGAATTTTTGTATTTTTTGGAGGGTTAGGAGACGTGGGGTGTGTGGTCACCGATGTGTTGCCAGGATGGTCTCGATCTCCGTGCCCTCGTGATTCACGCGTCTTAGTCTCCCAAGACAGTGCTGGGGATTGACAGTCGTGGAGCGCACGGCGCCGCCGACTTACTTAAATAGAATCTTTGGACAGGTCGTTCACCTTTTTTAGAGTTGCATGGTCATGGTTTTTAACTTTTTTTTTGAGACGGAGTCGTGCTCGCTGTCAGCCCAGGGCTGGAGGTGCAGTGGCGCGATCCGCTCACCTGGGCAAGGCGGTCCGCCTGTCCCGCCCCCCATCTCTGCCTCAGCCTCCGGAAGTGGATATAGGCGCCGCCCACCTCGCCACCGGCCGCCTAATTTTTTTTTTTTTTTTTTTTTTTGTTTGTTTTGTTATTTTTTGTTACAGATGGGGGGTTCACCGTTGTTAGCCAGGATGGTCGTCGATCCTCACTGACCTCGATGGATCAGCCCTGCGCTCAAGCTCCCCCAAAATGCAGTAGGGAATTACAGGCCGTGACCCACTGCGCGCAGCCCATGTTTTTAAGCTGTTTAAGAAGGTCATGCTATGTTGACAGCTCGGCACATCTAAGCTGCGTTCTCGCCTCTCGCTCCCGGATGTCCTGTACGGCTATTCCGAAGGGGCACTGCAGCTGCAGTTCACCCAAACTTCTCCGCCTGGCCCTCCTCTGTTAGGTGAATTGGGTACCCCTCCAAGAAGAAGTCTAAACCCACCTTGAACAACCAATTTGAAATGTCTGGCAGATTATAATAATATAGATGAGCCACACAAGGGCTCACACCTGTAATCCCAGATTTGTTGTGACCCACAGCCGAATCACTGAAACGAGACCAACCAAACCGCAAGTGTGGTGAAACCCTGTCTCTACTAAAAATACAAAAATTAGCGGCAGGTCGTGCCTGTAGTCCCAGCACTCGCAACAGGCAGGATGGATACTGTGAACCGGGGAAGGGCAGAGGGTTGCAAGGTGAGCAGAGATCGCAGCCACTGCACTCAGCCTGGGCAATAGGAGCTAAGACTGCATCTCAATAAATAAATAAAATAAATAAATAGGCCACCGTGGCTCACGCCTAACTCCAGCACTTTGGAGACCAAGCAGGCAGATGCACGATATCAGAGATGAACATCCTGGCTAACACGGTGAAACCCTGTCTCTACTAAGAAAGTAGAAAATAAGCCATGTGGCGCCTGTGTATCCCAGCTATCTGTCCGGACTGAGAAGAGAAGGGCGTGAACCCAGGAGCGAGGTTGCAGACAAGATCGCACCAGCTGAACTCCGACGGCAGAAAGCTCCACGAAAAAAAAAAAAA